GGATGGAGGGATGGATGGATGGAGGGAGGGAGGTAGGGAGGGAGGAATGGAGGGAGGAATGGAGGGAGGAAGGGAGGGATGGATGAAAAAATGACCATGATAAACAACACCCTGACTTACCTTTTTCTTTTCCTTGTTGCCAACATAAGACAGAGAGATAAACCTAGTAACATGTCTTGATGGCTCTTTCAAAACCTGATGATTTCTACAAACACGAGAAAAACAAATCATTATGTCAATTATTTTATGGGTTTCCTGTGTCATAATTGTATTGGTAAGGACAAAAGTCCCTGTGTTTCCAAGGCAACCGCAATGATTGCCTGTTAGAATGCTTCCCTATAATTGGCTGATTATTCTTGAAACATATCTCACTAGATAAAATTCATGCAACACTTCAATTGTACAATTGTAATTAAATTTTTATTAATTTTAAAGAGCAGTGAAAGAAAGCATTATATGAAGACAAAGAAAAAATTTTTTTTCATTACAAATTATTTGTTATTTATTTCATTTTCATATAAATAGCCAACTTTTGATATTCTTGTTGAGAGATCAAGCACAAAGCGGTTTAGAGTCAAGGCTCTGGGGAAACAATAGCGTAATCATGATAATTATCCCTTTGTTCCCCAGAGCCTTGAAGGATAGTTTTGTGCTTGATCACTCAAACAACCTATTCTTTAATTTTTTTATTTTATTTTTTAAATATTTTGAAATTGGACAATCAGCAAATGTAAACTATTAAAACCACACATAAATAGTAAGTTTAAAATTAGTTCAAATATAAGTAATCGCTTCATGTGTTACCCAGGTCTATTGAGTGTTCCATGTAGTTTATCAACGAATATTTGATTTTAAGGACAAATGATCAGTTTTTATCAATAGTAAAAAGATGCTAATACTCAAAAACTTTAAATTTCTTTCTGAATTCCACATTTTAAGAGATATTTTAATTTGAAAAAAACAGGAATCATGTAGACTGAGGGATTGGACTGTGGAAATTTGTTTTTCAAATTTCCAGCTTTTAAAAGGGTATAGATGATCTTGATATGCAGAAAAAACACGTCCAACCTTTAAAATGTCATTTGCACTTCTAAATTCTGTATTTTGAGCGATTTTTTTATTTTGGAAAATCAGGAACCGAGCATAAATGGACTGGACTGGACTTCGGTTAGCTGGATTGTGCGGAACGCATAAAAATTATTTTGTCTAATTTTCAACTTTTGATAGAGTATAGATAATATTTATACAGAGAAAAAACATATCCAGCCTACAAAATTTGATTTATGCTTCTAAATTGTGAGTTTTGAGCAATTTTGTTATTTTGGAAAATCTGGAACTGTACATGGATGGACTAGACTTCAGTGAACTGGAACATCCGGATCTCAAACTTTTTTACACCAAATTTCCAGCTTTTGTCCTATAAATTTTGCATTAAATATTCATAACTAGTACTTTTGAGCACAAAAAACAAGATTTTCAAAAAACCATATTTTGGCAACCATTATTTGCCAGTTTTTAATGGCAATGTGTTTAAGGTACCTGTAAGGCGCTCTTTCATAATGTATACCATCTACACTAGCAAAGTGATATCTTGGACGTAATTTATAGCAAAGTCTTGAAACCAATTTTGAGCCATTAGGAACTGACAGAACATCAGGCTGTGACATAAAATAAGAACTACAGTGGAATATGCTCAAATGAAAGCTTATAAATAAACCTTCCTAATCCTTTGACCTTAAGCTTCTGCTATCTCCCTCCTTGGAAATTTCCATCCCCTCCATGGGGAAGGTATAGATATTTTCTGGAACTACACAATATAACATTCTCAGACCCTCCCCACCCTTTGGAAATTCCAATTGCCCTCCATGGTGGAGGTATGGATATTTTCTGGAACTACACAATATACTTCTCAGACCCTCCCCACCCCTTGGAAATTCCAATCCTCCTCCATGGTGGAGGTATGGCTATTTTCTGAAACTACACAATATACTTCTCAGACCCTCCCCACCCCTTGGAAATTCCAATCCCCCTACATGGTAGAGGTATGAATATTTTCTGGAACTACACAATATATCGTCCTCCAGACCATCCCTCCCCACCCCTTGGAAAGTGCAGTTTTATCTACCCAGGTTATGAGGTATGGTTGGCTTAAAACAATTAGGTAATATATTACTTACTGGTTTGCTGGTATATTCAATGATATCTTGAGGCCAACAACATGTCAACAAAATATCTACTCCTTGAAACTTGTCTTCATTGGACTTGTTTGAAAGGGATTCTACATCTTCTTGAGAAAAAGTACTACCACCCTGTTATAAAATAGCACAAAATCTTTAATTTTTTGAATGGGAATTAAATAGGACATAAGTAAATCACTTCTAAATTCCAATTCATTCTGTGATTTAGCAGCATTCTGTCTTCAATCAGACCAGAGATTATTTTAGGGTTTGATAAATTGGAAGATCTTAAAAGACTGATCAGGGCAATCATAAAGACTAATGGCTTCTTTACCTTTATCCCACTAGACTGGTCTGTTCCACTAAGATAAGCAATTTGTAGCCCAGTTCCTGTTGTCAAAATTCCTTTTCTTCCTAAAAGTTGCATTTAGAATATTATTCATACTAAAAGATTATAAACTTGATAATCTATCCACCCATTCAATTTTATCAATCCTCCCATCCATCTATTCTATCTTTTCCAGCCATCCCATGAGTGGGCCATCTCTCAATCCATTTTTCCCTCCTTTCTGTCTCTGACATCCATCCTCTCACACATCCAATCCCATTCATTCCAGCCATTCCATCCCATCTCATTTCTCCATCTGTCTTCAAAAGCCCATTTATTCCAGACATTGATATTTCATCCATCCATTGATTTAAGCCATCTTTAAAATGATAGACAAAACATATAGTAAAAGTGGATTACCCAGAAAGGTGATATTCTCACAGAGTTCTTTTCCATCTTCCAAAAAAGATGAGTCAAAATATTTCATCTCTTCTGGGTCACTTGGTCCCAGGATATAAGTTGCAATAGGAGCAAGAGTCTCTCTGTTCACATAGGAATCCCATTCCTTCTTATTTTCATCTGTGTTGCCGAAAAAACTTCCAACACAAAGCAGCAGCTATAAAGTAAATAAAAAGAAGAGAAGTTCAAATGAACTGTACTGGAATTTTGGACATTATTAAAAGTAAGAAGTACAGGAAAAGAAAATATATGTTTAATTTTATAGGACCACCAGCCACTCTAATGCTGCTTCGCTGTCCTTTTTTTGGGGTCCATGGAAAAAGTTGCTTCAGAGCCCCCCTAACCGCATGGATATACAGCTGCTGAAATAATATTCATCACCCTTAGGATATTGTTGTTCTGGTTATTGTTATTATGATTGTCATATTATTAGGTCCCCAACCCTTCCCCCCACCGGAACACAGGCCAGTTTTTTCCCAACTCACCAAATGTATTTCATAGACAGTAGTCCCCCCCCCCCCCCCCCCCCCCCCCCCCCCCCCCCCTCCCCCAGAGTTCGCCGCATAATTTCACAGACAAATCAAAGGCTTGTTTGAAAACACTCACTTCGAATTCTGGGTTTTTTTTCAGAATATTCTTGACTCTAGTATAAAGCTGGTTTATTTTACCATTCACTTCGCCACAAACTAAACTGGAAAAAAATAATACAGCTTAATTTCTTGGAACTTCTGCATCATTTTTAACAGGAAAATTCATACAAAATTACACAAAGTAGCACAACTTACACCTTCATCGTCGTCATTCTGACTCTAAAGAATTTATTTCGTGGTGTCAAAGTGGTTTAACATGAATAAATAACCTTGAAAATGCTGAGTGAAGATGAAGAATTTCTGCAAGAAAAGAAAACCAAATCTGCCGCCATTTTGAATAAGCCTCGTTTGGGTGTTGATACCCGTGTTGCATGCTGGGATAAGATCCGGGACACCACGTGGTTGGGTCTCTTTTCAGTGGCAGCCATGGCGGAACAAGTAAGGACTAAAATACTTCCACTTTAAACAAAAAATAAACCACTAGAGCTACACCCAAATGCCCTAAAAATATCCAAATTAAACGCTCCCATCATCCTTTTATCTATATGTGAAGTCGAATTATGGGTTTATAGTTATGAAACTATCTTTTTTTAACTTTGAAAAACCATGTGTTTTGCTGTGGCCATGTTGGACAAAATTTAAGAATGTGGCTCGATCACGTTTACGAGGGCTTTTTCAACATTTGTGGGGGTTTTGATTCGGTATTTAGCCATAATACTAAAATGAAAGTAAAGTTTATATGATTTATCAATAAGTTTGGGTTTTGGTTAATGGCTTTGGTAACGTTTTCCGTGCTTACTAAGGAGTTGTGTGAGCACATTAGTGTTTGGGAAATTCAAATATACAATAAGGCATCGATCTAGTCTTGTTTTCCAATACTTATAGGTACCATCCATTTATTAGTCCTCGATGAGAGTTTTCAATTTGGGGGTAGGGAGGGGTAGACAGAACTAAGATGTCCCACATTTCCAATGGGCCTCTCATTTCCTCTATTAAAATACAGCAATAATTAAAGTAACAAATTCTTCATTTAATCCTCAGACCGAGAGGGCCTACCAGAAACAGGCACCCATCTTCCAAAACAGAAAGCGCGTTCTTGGACAAGTTCTAGGAAAGAAGAAGGAATTACGCTATGTCAGAAATGTTGGTCTAGGATTCAAGACACCTAAAGATGTGAGTATTGCATTCATAATCACATTTTGGCTGGTAGAAGAATGCTAATATGGGGTGGCACTTGAGGGTTCGATCATCAATTCACTACTTTTGAATCATCAATCTTGATTGTTGCCACACTTGTGTAAGTCCAAAAGATATCTCAAACCACAGAGAAAATTGGAAATTCTGGAGGAGAGGACGGTCAGAGAAAGAACAAAATTACAGAGTTTGTATGGAAGAAAATTGGAAGTTCCTGGGGGTAAGGGGGTCCTTTTACCAATTCCCTCTGTGGTGGGGTACAGATATTTTCTGGAACTACACATTACTGGTTTTCAATCATTTTCAAGACACTAAAATAACAAATGAAGTAATTGCCATGTTGGTTGATATACTGGTAGCAAAAGATATTGATGAACAATCTTTTGTTACGTTCAACCAACATGGTAGCAATGATAATCAGTAATAACTGTAAAAATGGAAGATACTGACTATAATCAGCATATATTCAGGTAACAATATGTTATGATTTTGAAATGGTGTAAAACAGTATTTTTTATACGATGCATCAAGACAATTTATCATATTTTTCCCTGTTAAGGAAATATCCTAACAAGATGTGTGCCCTTTTTAGGCTATTGAAGGTAACTACATCGACAAGAAGTGTCCCTTCACTGGAAACGTCAGCATTCGTGGCCGTATTCTTACTGGGGTGATAAAAAGCATGAAGATGAAGAGAACCATTGTTGTAAGACGTGACTATCTTCACTACATCAAGAAATACAACAGATTTGAGAAACGCCACAAGACCTTGTCTGCACATCTGTCACCTTGCTTCAGGTACAGTATTTCCATTTGACTGTTATTTAAGAAAACAAATGTGTTGTAGTAGATAATTTTATCACCATAAGTACAAAAGATAGCATACTGAAGTTTCGGACGTTAGTCAATGATTGACTCTGACGAAGGACTAACGTCCGAAATGTCAGTCTACTATCTTTCGTACCTACGGTGATAAAATTGTCTACTACGACACATTTGTTTCAACTTAAAAACACTGACGCAGTCCAAGCTAGTTCCAAAACTAGTCGTTATCTACATATCTGTTATTTTAGAAGGCATGTTTCTAACATTTTATGTATTCTCACTCAATGTTGAATCCTCCTGGTGATTTTGCAGCTTTTTTATTTTTTTCCCTTAACAAATCTATGATTTTTCCATTATTTTAATCCCTAATGGGAGAAGCCAAAACATTACAAAGGCATTTTTGAATTTTTTAAATTCAAATTTGAGGGAGGAGAAGTATATTCATATCTTCAATAAAAGACATGAAAAAAGATAACTTGTTTGTATCTTTCATCATCAGGGATGCTGCATTAGGAGATGTTGTAACTGTTGGTCAGTGCCGTCCCCTTAGCAAGACTGTTCGCTTCAATGTGCTCAAGATCGCTAAGGGAACAGGAGTCCAGAAGGATAAGAAACAATTTGAAAAATTCTAAACATGCTCTAATAAATTGCTGTTGTGGCTGAATGGTATCTGAATGTGTTTTTGGTAGAGGAAATATTTGGGTACACTGTTTTGGGTAGACAGAACATTTGGGTATCTTTTGGGTAGAGAAATATTTGGTTATTGTTTCATGGGTCATATTTGTGTTTATGGGTCCTTGATAATAACAGAACGTTGTGCGTCATCAATAACCAGCTTCACATGAGTTGTCTATAGTAGTGACTAAAAAGTATTTCAGAAAAATACCTTTTCCAATCTAAGTAAATTTAGAATCTAAACTTTCCTTTGCAAAATTTATACGAAGCCATTTTAGATTTTTAATATTTTAAACACAAATTTTTCAGAATATTGATTTCCTGGTCTATACTTTTTTATTTCTAACAAAAATAATAATAAATTATTTACATAATATATTATATATTTTCTCCCAAACTTTATCCAAAAATATGTTATATCCTACAAATTTTGATCTTTTGGATTTCGATTTTACATAAGTATGATAAATTACAAAATGATTAATAATGCTAGATTTCTCTTTTTACAACTTCCTCCATGAAAAATATATTACTAACAATATAATACAATTTTTTAACAGAATTTATATTCTCGTTTGAGCTAGGATTTACAAGTTTTACTCGGACATTTCCTGAGAAAGAATTGAAATTTATTGAAACATTTACCAAAAACTATGAGCATTCCTTTAAGATTTAGACCTGTACAAAATAACTTAGTCATTTTAGTGTCCTAGAGACAATAGGATGATGGCATCATTTCACTAATTTTCTTTCTTAGTTAAATTTATATTCCCTCATGAAAATAGTAAGACAATTGGTACTAATTAACTGAACAAAAGAAAGTGTGCAAGGGAGTCTGTCTGGTAGTAGAGGTCAATGACGCCATCATGCAACATCCTATTGGTTCAAATTTATATCACAATAATTGTGAGATGAATTCATGCTGTAGCAGTTCACATACAGAAGGTCTTGCACTAGGTTCCCTAAAAGAAATAATTCAATGTTTAAAGTTGTGAAGAATTTCTGAGAAATACTCATACAGATAGACCATCTGCCCAGGGAGCTAGTAAGAAAGGATGGTACAAATGTGGATGGAAGATTTAGGGTATTTCAGATAAAATGAAAGGTGAGAATTCTGTGGCACAGGAAGAAAAAAATGGTATCAATCAGGGGAAGGAAGAGAAATATAATCATTTTGCAAAGACACTAATATCACTGCCAACAAATCAATTTCCAACCAATTTACTCTGACGAAGGATTTACCCTTTTATCATTACTGTTTCATTAGAAACACTGACGCAGCTCACACTAGTTTTTAGCTACTTATCTCTGCCAACCAATCAGTTTTCGCTAATGCTCTCTGATGTTCTGTATAATCAAGCTTATATAACACCTTCCTTAGATATATTTTTCTTTCCTGCCCTGTGTGCGTCCTTGCCAAGGGGGGGAAAATGATCTGCTCGCAGAAGATATGCCAATAAGTAAGTACTTCCATGATATTTACCTGGTCATGCAAGCAGCAGTGAAATTTCTTGCAGCTTCAGAAAATGAATTATCGAGTTGAGGAACAGTGTTGCCATTACCAATAGCAAACATGGCGGCAAATGGATCCATGGGTGACCATGGTGGGTTCCCTGTGGCCATCTCATACACAGTGCATCCTATACTCCTGTAATAGACAAGAATTCATTGGGTCTTTCTCTGACAAAATGGAGTATCCAATAATGGATTGGAATCAGTTATATTGTGTAGTTTCAGAAAACAATGATCATGCTCTAAGGGACTGACCATTAGATCTTCAAGAAAAAATATATAAGTACAGCTTTAAAGATTGAAAAAAATAAATTATGTCCCCCCCTCCCCCTCAAAAATCTATTGGTCCGTCGGTGACCAGTGACACCATGGTGCATTGTGATAAAAGAATCTTTAATTTACCATTCCTGATTATGGGCTTTGTACCCAAGCTAGACCACAATGCTTCATGTTTATCAAACTCAAGGGTCAATGGATGGGAGAATAAAAATCTAAGGTCTGGAGGTTTATAAGTCATAGCACTGTGCCTAGAGAGATCTTACTCCAATGCTTCCATCCACAAGCTTAGGGAGGGGCCACATGACTCCCAAAAAATTAGCTTTTGGCACCAAAATTCATTTAAGAAATGTGGGATTCCTGTGGATTTTGCAGGAGAAAGTACATTGCCCCCACCCCCCATGATCAAGACCTCACTACACCCCTGCCACCATCCTTACACAAGGGTAGGAACATACATTTCCTGGATCTGATAGATAGATAGCATGCAAAGGGTCACTAACCAGATATCAGATTTGGTGCCCTGTCCACTGGTCTCCTTGATGACTTCAGGTGCCATCCAGTAGGGTGTTCCTTTCATTGAGTGCATTATGCTACTCCTACTCAGGCTTAAACTCTGTAACAACAAAAACACCATCAGTTAATCAATTAGTCAAGAATATACCTCCAGCTATGGTAATGTTGGTGATTTCTAAAGCTTTGTTTTCCCTTGGAATCAGAACCAGAGTTGGAAGTGTTTACATCAGAAGTTGTAATGGAAGTTTTCCTTTTGCTTCATATGCGCTTACATTTATGATGAGTGGTTTTCACTTGCAATTTCACACAGAAACTTCTTCCGACTATGATTCCAACTCCGATTATGCTGCAAGTGAAAACCAGACTCACTGAGAGGAAGTGAAAGTGATTCTTACTCAATATGGCGAGTTATACCCATTGAAAGTTGGTTTTTCACTGTTGCCAGGCAAAAAATATGTAAAAGGTTACCAAATGATTATTTTAATTGATGGCAGAGAAAAGCGAAGTTTCAGCACGGAGCTTGCAGCTACAAGTTTTTGTAATATTAAAAACTTCTAACTTACCATACAGAGTCTTTTGGCACACCCAAAGTCAATGAGCTTAATGACTCCATTGGGCATTAACATTATGTTACCACCCTTGATGTCCCTGGGGACAAAATAGTATTATAAAATTATTTGTGAATTAGACAATATATGGCATCCATGTGAATTTTCAGTGGTACAGGAAGGGCTGCAGGCAAAAAAGGAGGAACCAAAAACAAGGCACACAGTGATTTTCAAAGAGTGGTTGACTGTAAAAGGGCACTTTACTTTAGGAGCTTAGGGGGTGCGCACCCCCTACAACCCTCTGGATCCACCCCTGTTCTACCTACCTGTGGATAACGTTTTTCTTGTGCAAGTAGTCCACCCCTGAGAGAATCTGTTTTGTATATCGCTGAAAGACTGGTTCCACAAAGGCTCCAAATCTGACAAAATGATATTGAAAATTTATTCAGAGGGATATCTTTCAAGGTTACTCTGAATATACCTGCGCTTTACCTGAATAGGTGTAATGAAGGTCCATACAGTAGTATGTAACATATTATGTTCCATAACCACGGGTAACATCAGTAATCACATTGAAATGATAGCACACGACACAGTACAGAATTGACAACAGCCATTAATGCAAGATTTGTTTTAAAAGTCTTACCTTTTCAGTGCCTGTGCAATTGAACCTCCAGGTACGAATTCCATGAAGATATTCACAACAGAATTGTCATCTAGACACGTTCCAATGTACCTGTGAAAACGAGAAAAATCRTTAGAAAATGTCAGCAATTTTTTTTTAAATTTTCAAACGAAAAAGTTTTAAATAAAAGTCCTAATAAAGATCTTACTTGACAATATTTTGGTGGCGTAGAGACTTCAATAATGAAACTTCTTCTTGCAGTTTGTCGTATTGCTGGAAAACATAAAACAAATAAATTTATTATGGGAAACACCTTGATACCTTCATTCCTTATCTTTCACGATTGGAATTTAGCGTGTTAGGTTTTGCGGTTAGAGAAAAAACGGAGTATCCGGAGAAAAACCCTCAAAAAACCCGGAGAAAAACCCTTTGGGAATCGAGACTGTGACACAAGAAATGAGAGGCRAGTGTGCCACAGCTACGCAACCCTTGATCACTTGAGCTAAAAAGACTCACCTTTTCAGCCTCACTTTCATCTTTATTGTTTAGCTCCACTTGTTTGACTGCAATCATTTCACCAGTGTTAACTAAACCAAGATATACCTTAAGACGAAACAAAAGACGTTTGATTACAACAACACAACATTTAGATTTATCAAAGGTGTGGCCTCTGTCAAGAGTGAAGGAGTGACGACGTTCTTTTTTATGCGCGCACCTCGCGCGCACCACCTTTAAGTTTGGCGTTCGCAGAAGCGTAGGTTTTGAGGCCATTACATTTTCTAAAATCATTCTTCGAGGGTTTCAAGCGAGATTTTTCATTTTCATAGCCGTGAAGGCAATCAGTAAATTCTGATGAATGGGCTTAACATCTCATCTAAACGGTGGTGCAGTACGTGGACGTAGCACTTGCCACTCAAATCTTCATAAATTATTGATGTTGAATTATTCTATACACTTACGGTTCCAAAGCCTCCTTTTCCCAGGACGCTTCCCTTCTGCCACTGGAGTTCCTCACCACAGCTTGTTGCTGAAGACAAACTCCCAGACCCAGAGCTAACCTGACTTCGCACAAGCCCTCTTGAAGCGGATGGGAAAAAGCTTGGCATTGACGTCTCACTGCTGTTGCTATTAGAACGAGGTCTGAGAGTTGATCGACTATCGTTGCTACCGCTGTTGCTACTGTTGGTTGTGTTTGTCTGGGGTTTGTGAATTTGTTCGTGAAGGATGATATCAACAGATCCAGGCATTGTAACGTCATGAGAAGATGAACTTAAGCCATGGGGAAATGATTCTTGCGAGCTGAAGTAACTGTCATTACTTGCAGTAGTGGAAGACTCTGAGACGGTATACGATAATGACTCACAACTGACATATGAAGAGTCATCTGACATGATCTCCTCATTTAGGGCCGTACAGAATCTTTCTTCATCTTCTTTTTCACTCTGAATGAACACATCATCTGAGGCATCCAATTCCCACGGACCAAATTCAGGCATTTGCCTTACGTAACTCGTTGTCCAATTTTCTTCTTTTAGATTTTCCTTTTCGTATGTTTGTTTTTCAAGGTGGTGATCGGTATTTGACGAATTAGTATCACTTGACGTGACACTGGTTTCCTGGATGGTTCCAGTGTTATCTTGTTCAGATAAGCTATGATTGTTTACAGAAAGGTCATCATGGTGTACCTCTTGTGCGCTTTCATGATCATCATCTTTTTTAATGTGGTCATAGTTTTCTAAGATGTCTTGTATCAAGTCTTCCATGTCTTGGTCTGCTTCATCAACAGGAAATTTGAGCTGTTCTTCTTGATAGGTATTGTTAATGATGCCATCATCATTATCATCATGGTGGTCATCATCATCATCACCTTCACTCGCAAGTGCTTCAGAATCAGATTCAGGCGAAACCATCTTCAAACGTGGCATACACATATTAAAAAACCTTGAAAACATCCCACCATCTACTTCATCAACTCCTTCATCAAAAACCTCGATCTGTTCGTCTTGTTTGTCATCGTTGACAATACCACCACCACCACTAACATCGTCATCTTCATCACCAGTCACTACTTTCTCTTCTTCCATCAATTCTGTTTGTCTTTCCTCTTGTTTCACGAGTTCCTCATTCACTTGAGACGTCTCTGGTACCTCCAAAGTATAAGCAACATCTTTCTTTCCAGAACCTCCATCATCTCGAGTCCTGGGTGATACTGATACAGTACTTCGTGGGGATTCAGGTATCGGACCCTCCAAAGTACAAACAACATCGTTCTCTCCAGAACCACCATCATCTCCAGTCCTGGGTGTTACTGATACAGTACTTCGTGGGGATTCAGGTATTGGACTCAGGATAGAAAATTTCCTTTTTACTAACTTGGTAGTGCCTCTTGAGTCCATGGACAAAGTTGGCACCTTGTCTAAATCAGGACTCAGCATACCTTCCTTAATCTCACAAGCCACATTTGATGTTACGCTATCATAACCCGTGCAACCAAAAGACTGGTGGACTGAAATCTCTTTGAACATCGGTTCTGTTTTCTTTCCTTTTCCCTTTTTTCCTTTCTTTCCTCTTTTCCCACAAGACGATGACTGTTCTTTCCCAATGGTATTTTTATCATCCTTCTTTTTAGATTCTTTAGTGGAGGCTTTTTTCTTTAGTTTTCCTGAGTTAGTCTTCCTTGGTTTAGTCTTTCCTAAGCTATTCCCAATCGGTGGTTGTACTTCTGGTTTGAAGTTGACAGGTGGGACAGGCGAGGGGAAGGCATTGCATATTTGAACCCCAAGTGGTTGTTCCTCTGATTGGCCATCGTTTGACCACGCTGTCTTTAAAAACACTGGCATATCTTTCTTTAAAGTTTTGACAACTTCCTTAGCAGATTCAGTTTGTGGTTTCACTTCTCTGCTACAGTGTGGATTGGTAGTTTCGGTGCTAATGCTCTTTTCATTTTCTTCATTATGTTGTTGATCGTCATCCAAGCTTAAAGACTGTAATACAATGCTTGATTTTAATTCACCATGTTCTCCAGCAACGACCCTCTTGTTTTCCTTTCCGTCCTTATCTAGTTCACTAGCACCATCATTACACTCATCCACCTTATTAACTGTCACCTCCTGATCCCTCTCACTCGTTCCCTGTGTGATAGTATTCCCCGACTGTCCACCACTTTCCTGGACATTTTTCTCGATGACAAACGTATCTTCTGAATAAAACTTCAATCCATCCTCCAATTCCTTGTCATCCTTTGCAACAGCTTCAGAAACTTCATTCCTTGAGTCTTCAGGACGTTTTGGTTGAATCTCAAAAGACTCTTCAGAAACGATTAAGAATTTTTCCCTTAATGTTTGTTCCTGAGTTTCAACATCTAAATCAATACAGTTCTTAGAAATGAACTTTGGTTTAAGAAGTAACTTATTTTCTGGTAACGACTGTGCTCTTCTCGAAAAACGTTCTCCTTCTTCTGATGAACTGCCTTTTCTCTCAACACATTTTTTCTTGCCAGAGACACCCTCAGTTTCACCATCACTTGTCTCTCCATCTAAAGAAATCCAGAAAGTTTTCTTCTCAGGCAAACGATTTGTACATTCTTCACACTTATTAAGTTTTTCATTGCTTAAAACTCTCCCACATTTCCAAGTTCGGTTCACAGACTTATGAGTTTTGATGCCACCAAAGTCCACATAAAAAGAAACAGAGTTTTTCCTATTTTCGTCTTTTCTCGCTTCATCTACAATTGCAGTTCTCTCTTTATCGTCAACCATTTTATTCGTAACGTTATTCGTACTTTTTAGTTCATTGGTATTATTTTTCTCTAGACTTGGACTATTTTGCTCACTGTTGGATGTCTTCGTAGCATTACCTATATTCCCAAGACCTGTTTCTCCATTTTTTGTACAAGGAATCCAAAACTTTGATAGATCTGTTGTAGAAAATGTCTGAGTTTTACAACAATCATCATCGTCATCACAACCTCCATTTACTACGCAATCGTTACAGGAAGAATGTGTTTCTTTGTTTTCTATCGAACTGGGTTCTTCCGCGTTGTTTTCATTCTTTTCCTTGATACTACCAGCAAGAAATTCTTCATCCTTTTTGTCTTTAACTGTTTCTTGGTTAATATTTTCTCTGACGGTATTTTCATTGTTGTCCAATTCAATTTCCTTGTCATCACTTTTCTTGTATTCCAGTTTATTGTCCGCACGGGGGGAGGGTGGGTAATCCAATTCCAGCCCATTTTCCTCACAGGGGGAGGACGGGGGTTGAACAATGTCTCTGTCTTCTGAGTCAAAAACAAATATCTTGGCCAAGGAGGGCTGACATTTGGAAGGACTTTGCAAGTTATCTAAAAACGGGACAAAAAAGAATAAGTTAAAATTGACTTCAATGCTGTACCTCCATGGCTGGCAAACTGTGTAGCTAATGATTTTTTTCGTTCTTTAGCTTGACTCTCTCCATCATTGTAGCGGTGTTTTACAGTGTAGTGCGTTTTACAATGTGCCTTTTTCCCGCCAATACACGCGCTTACGTGTTTCATCTTCAAAGTTCCCCTTCATACCTAGAGCTTTAGTAAAACTTTTGGGTGAAGCCACTTGTGTTTTACAGTAAAAATGGAAAGGCATTTTAGAACCATGCATCCAGATGTCCGTTTAATGAAGTATCCGACAAATAGAGGTACATTGTACATTCTATTCTATTTTTACTCACCCAAGTCAAGAACATCTCCAACCAATTCATGTCCAGGATACAAAGAATTCCTGGAACACTCTTGTCTGGTATCTGCAGGAGACGTCCTTCCCTCTCTTGACAGAGGAGCTAAAGTCTTTGGAAGCTTTATTCTCCCTGAGCCTTGTAACGACGAATAGTCAGACATCCTGCTCGTAGATTCATATGTGTTGGGTGTCAGTGGTAAGGATGATGGGTTGTTAAGAAGTCGAAAACGTTGAATAGTGCTGTAACGATTGCAAGGTGATTGGAGTGGTACATCACTGTGAAGAGCACTGATGAGAGATATGTGTATGAGAACATATATGAAATATATATTTGTACTGCGGTTGTATTATTGTATCAAATTGAGCTGATTCTCGCAGTATATGAAGCAACTTATGCAGCTGCATGAGTCTTGAACCCGTGCCCTGGCAATTCCGGTGCCAATAGCTCTAACCATTAAGCTACCAAGTCTCATATGAGACTTCAAGGACACATTAGGCGGGTTTATCGGCCCGATAGAAGCGAGAGCAAAACAATAATTCATTATATAGTCAGGTAAGAGTATGTTGGTATAGAACATGACAAAGCTTCCTGCAGGCCAAGAGGCACTGTAATGAAAAATGATAGTATACCTTGTTATTCGTAGTTCAATATTTTTGATGGATAATTTCGGAAGCTCCCATTCTTGCCTACAACTTTGCAAACCTATGAAGTACATCATAATAAGTATCAATATCGACGCGGTTACCATGACAACTCAAAGGGAAGGGAATTCATAGTTGCCATGGTGATCAACGTGAAGAAGTTAAAGATTGATCACCATGGTAATCACTGGAAGAAATGTCTTAAAGTTTTGCAATGACAACTTAGTGTAACCATGGTTATGGGTTGGAATGGTACCATCTCCCTTTCCTGGAAAACAATGCATTCTTGTATAGCTATGTTGTTTTCACCCAAGCTAGACCAGAATGCACTTTGTCCTGCAAAGGAACAAAGACCATAGAAAGGATTATACCAAAAATTACCTGCATTAGCGGAGAAGGAACTAATCTGTCTTGTTTGACTCCTGTACTTTATCCTGTTGCTGTCACTAGGGCTGGTCCCTGGCGGTCGCGGTGCCATATAACCAGGGGTCTTATTAGTCATAGACTGGCTTCTCCTAACATGTTTGGACTTCATCTTTGGAGGATGTGGCACTTGACTTAAATAAAAGCAATTTAACAGAAAATCAGTTTAAGAAAAAATAAATCATGATGTGGTCATGGCAAGTCTGTATATGGAGGGGGATGAATTGGAAAGCTATACTCTGCTATGTTACAGTATTGAACATGTGTGACGACAAATGTACCCTGCTTTCTTTTGCTCTGCCATACCTCCTTTAGGGCACACCATAGTCCAACAGTCATGTTACTTCAATGGTTACAGGGCTTAAAATTTAGCATATGTAACCGGCGGCAAGGCGCTCAGCTATGAATCAGATTGCAAGTGGTTTTGACAAAAGAATTTATTGAAAAATTCACACAACTTTACAATACATG